GGGATCCCTCAAATAAGCTTATTTGAAGGACACCCCTTGTATGCCCCACTCTGGATTGTATTTCATTAATCAAAACCGTCTATTTTGTAGATACACATTCAAAGATCATCTCTACAAAAAAATTACTTGAATCCAATATCATTTGACCACTCATTTGAGTTATTGAAATTTTAGTACATTCTTGAAGCACAGTGTTCATTGATTTTGTAGGACACAATTGGATGTCGAAACGGTTTCCGATTTGTCTAATTTTTTGTAAGCATGATCTATGAATGAAAACCTAAAAAATAGATGGTTTGGATCATTGGAAAAAAAATTGTAAGATACCCTAAAGGACGTCCCTCAAATAAAATTATTTGAGGGATCCCTCAATAGAAGGGGACTGATTATATATATATATATATATATAAAAAAAGGTTGAAAAAAGAAGAAAACATATACCTAAGTTAATATTTTTGCTCATTTCTCTCATAATCATATTGCAATATAAATACATATCACTCAAGTATTAACCAGTTAGTAAGTTAATTATGACGACACTAACCATTTGTTTGGAATCACTCCACAATATCATTTCACGATCCGAACTGTTCATTTTGTCAATTACTCAAATATGCCTATTCAAAAAGCAATCATAGACTTAACTATGAGCCCTAGACGAGCTTTGACATATAACAACAAAAGTACCATAAATGACATTGTAAGTACATATAGTAAAATCTAAATGCTCATTATTATACGGGTCTCTTGAAATGTTATATTTCACAATTTTAGATGACCTTATAAAAAGTTCTTATAAGTGATTCGTGAACCTTACATTACTAATCCTAACAAATTTGTTGACTATTATGTGTCCCAACAAATCATTTGAATTAGCTAAGTGCCTTGGCTAGAAAGGCTTGATATTGAGAAGGATCCTATGTCTTGTCAAATTTTTTTTCTTCATTTTTTACCTGAACAAAAAGAAAGAAAGAAAAGAGACAATTCCTTTATAAGGATAAAAATACAGTTTAACTTGCATTCAAGAAAAGAAAAAAAAATGTTGTTCATGCTCTACATGTTCCCCCAAAAGAAAAGAAAAGAAGTGTTCATGCCACCCAAATGTCAAAACCTATATATACCCCAACTACCACTTTCCCAGCACTTTCCGAACCCCTTCCCAAATCTTCACTTCACACAAAGCATGCCAAACCCAAAACCACCATTTCCCTTTCTCTTCGCCATTCTCTTCTTCTTCATTCTACCCCTTATCTTTTCCCAAAATGGCGAGTATGTCCGGTTCGCCGAGGCAGGAAAGCGGAGAGTCCACATCACTGACGACCTGGACGACGTCGTAGACGAGGAGGAGGACGATACTTGGAAAGAATGGGGCAAGAAATCAACACCCCCTTCCGATTTTGATCCTCCCCCTGATTTGTCTAAAATGGACATGTCCGAGATCCAGGCGGAGATGATGAAGCGGCATACCGGCCCGGCTTTTGGGTTTGTGAAGCTCCGGCTGGGCGTCAGACGGACTCGGGTAATCCGAATTTGCTCTTCCCCTTTGCGTTCTTATTGGGTTTCATCTTGAATTGAATTGGGTTAGTTTCTATGTTGGCTCTGATATAGTAACTCGTAGTTTGGAACCTCAATTTGATAGTTTGAGTGTAATCAGTGAAAAGAGTTTTTTAAGCATGAATTTGGATCAAACGTTCAGTATTGAATTGAAAGAGTATTGAGAAGTTGATTGGAAGTTGTTGTGATCTGGAATTGGACTTGAACATTTATGTGAAAGAATTTGGTTAAAATTGGAAATTGTGGATTAATGTGTGGAAATCTACTGATAAGTACTAGTTTTGCAAATTGCAGGCTGCCCAAAATGCACTATCAGAACACTTTTTGTAGATTGGGAACCATGAATTGAGCACTTGTTATAAACTTTTTTTTTTTTTTTTGTAGTTCTTGTTGTAGTCTCTTGTTTTAGATGTTAATTATGAGCTTGAGTTGATGTATTGGCTTTATAGGTAATAGAAATGACTTTTGATGGTTTTCTATGTAGTTGATTGAGGCTTTCAATTTGGCTTCAAATGAATGTTAAATTTATTAAGTGCTTCTCTTCCCCTCGCAGGATACGGTGGCTGAGATTGCTATGAAATGGACCAAAGTTCTGAGAACTGGAGCTCTTGGGGTAAGATTCATGGGTGTTGATCTAAACACAATCATGTTCAACATGGAACAAGGCCAAGACATGACAGAGGTATGCTTCTTTCCCCCTCACACTGGGTCTTTTGTCCTTCAGATCAAAGAGAATGAGGTTCCCTTGTGTTCTGCTGGAGAAATTGCTCCTTGATTGTAGATGTCTTTCATTTCTTAAGACACAAATAGAAAAATCTGAAGTCTTGGACATGGCTTACCTGTCCATAAAAGAGGTGTTGCATGCCAATCATACTCATGTCTTGCTTAGCATACTTTTTTGAATTGATGAGCTTATTATTGCAGATCATGAATTTTTTTGATGGATGATGACCTGATTATTGTAGATCACGAGCTTTTGCTTTCTTTTGTTCTTATACTTTTTTATCCCTTTCTTTACCTCAATTCTCCAGTTGAAGGAGTTTGTGTTGAACCAACCAGAGGCCTATGAAATAAAGATTGGTGAACAAGTTTTTCGAAGACCTGGAGATCCTCCGTTGGAGGAAGTTGTGGAGAAGCTCCAGAATGAGAAAAAAAGAGTGGAGAATGAGAGTCCAGCAGAGAACAATATGCATTTGAAAGAGGAATTGTAGTTATACCAGTAAGTTTTCTGACATGCAATATAATGATCCCATCTCTAACTCCATAGCAACATCCACCCCGAATATTCATGCATTACTATTCAAGTGGATTTTAGGCTGTTGATAAAGCCGACATAATTACTTATCACAATTCTGTGTTTATTTATTTATTTTAATGGAAACAGTGCGTAAAAACTGCTCAAGAGTAGGCAGGCCATCTATTCACCACACCTCTTGAACTACTTTGGAACTTCATTGCCTGAAAATTTAATATCGAATGTAGAGCCCCGAGAAAAAGAATTTCAGAGACTGAAGTTCGCTACAACATATAACAGAGATGCACAGCAAAATATTAATTGCTAAATTTGAATTGAACAAAAAAAACAGAAGAGAGTAGATAATATGACCAGAAAATATTAATGCAAAGATATCATTCAACATTTAATGGATCAATTTACATACTTTTGGTCCTCATCAATATCAATATGTTTCTGCTTTGGCTGATCCGTTGGTTCTGAAGATGATGAGCAAAGCCATTGCTCTTCTTCTGATCCGCGAGGCCTCTTCTTCCCAACACTAGTCGTTGATTCATTCATCATCGTCAACCTGTACCTGGTGGCCTAATAGGTGAACCCCACAGCTTTTAAAGCCCATCGGCCCTCCATCTGGGTCTGGGAAATTAAATATAACTTGAAATGTATACGTATTAGTATTACCCTGCTGCATCGGCATATTTCTTCCTTTCCCTTGCGGATCCAAATCCGATAATGGAATACACTTGAGCCACATACGAGTTTCCTGTGTCTCTGTTGGATCCTCATCCCTAACCCATATGTCATTGATGAGTTTTCCATTGATCATGATAACTAACACATAGAAGTAAACTTAATGTCGACTCCCATTTTACATTTGGAGGAATTTCAAAACAAACTTCACATCCAGCAACGTGTTCCTCATCTGAATCAGGATCTACTTGAACTACGGTTGCATCTTTACAACACCTGAACCACTTTGGAACTTCATTGCCTGAAAGTATAATTTCTACTTCATTGCCTGGAAGTATAATTTCGGATACAGAACGTGGTAGCTACATTAATAGAATAGAATAGTTAGTTACAACAATCATGATGTTAACGAAATAAATGAGAGAGAGAGAGAGAGAGAGAGAGAGAGAGAGAAACCTGATTCAGAAAAATATTTTCTGTAACGATGCCGCGTAGTCTAAAGCAATTGACCAAATCCAGCCACCGAACCCCCTGGGTCAAGTTTGGGAAATTTTCCAATGATGTGCAATTAGGCAGGTATAACCAAGCTACTCTTGGTGGAAGCACTTCTGGAATTTCCCGAAGCCTCTTGCAACCATGCAATCTAAGAATCAACAAGTTGACAAACTTGCTAATGCATCCTGGAAGCATGACAAAATTGTTTCCCGATAAATCAAGTTCTGTTAATGCGTTCCAGCCATCAAGAGGCACGAGGAAATCACTTTCTGAGAAATTGCATCCGTGGAGATAAAAAAAAACGCAGGCTGGGAAGCGCTAATGGGATGTTTGAGTTACTTAAAAGCTGCTGTAATGTGGTATTGCTGGATGAAACTTCAGACTTCACCTTATCGCCGAATGTAAGAAGTTTTCGGCACCCTTTGAAACTCAGATCAGTGAGGTGTTGCAATCCACATATACTAGCTAATGACGTAACTGTAAGGTTCTCACAATGATCACCTCTCAATTCTTGAAGCCTTGTAAGATTTACAATTGATGAAGGCAGTTCCCTTATGCCACTTCCTTCCATATTCAAAATCGTTAGGCATTCCATCTCGTCCTCTATTTCTGGGAAACTCTCAAGCCTTTGGCAATTACGAACACAAAGACTTTTAAGGGATTTCAATCTAAGTCTTTGTTGCGAACCTCGTAAGCTTAACGCATTCTCTAAGATCCAACTTAACAAGTTTATCAAGGAATCCAACAGAATCATGAACCTCAACCACACTTGTACACTGACTTAGATTCAAGAACTTTATGTTTGGGATTCCAGATAAGTCAGGGATTTTTTCTAAGAATTCATACCCACTTAAATTTATAGATGTCACATTTGGGCTATTCTGTGAGACAAAAACATGACATAGGAAATTATCAAATCATAAACTTTATAAAATAAAAAATAAAAAATTCAATAATTTGTGTCGTGAAAATAAGAACTTTATTAGAAATAATAATATGAAAATAATTTGAGGTACGTACCTTAAATATCTCTAATTGTCTAATATCACTACAAGGCATATATTAAATACAACAAGATAACCATGAGATGTGGTGTGGTGGTAGCTCACCTCATCCCTTAACCATGAGGTTGGGAGTTCGATCCCCGCCCATGGGAATGGAGCACATTTCGTGGCCAGCTGTTTACCTCCTTTGGGAGAGCTCCCGCAGCGAAAGGGATTAGTCACTGCTGTCAGCGGTGGACACCCTTGGGTCTAACCAAAAAAAAAAAAAAAATACAACAAGATGCCTTGCATGAAAATTGGATGGGAAAAATTGTAACTGACATCTACCCCAATCAATCAACCTCAACTCGTTGGGCAGATGGTCAATGCATCCAGATAGAACTGCATTACGGTTTATGAAAATTTCAAGATTTACCATCCCAGATAAGCTTTTTGCATTCAAGATCAAGGGTATCCCATCTGGATACCTTTAATATTTCTTGTACCCTGAGTTGAAAAAGTATTAATATCAAGATATCGAATCGTTTTTCAAACCAAAATACAAGTACATTTTGTTAAGAAAATTATAGGTCACATATGGTACTACTTCTTGTCAAATTGAATATTGGAACATATATTATACTTACTGTGTTTTCTGTTAGAACTTGGAATACATCTTGATGAAACCATAGTCTACTACGCTTGGCAGGATCATTCGGAGATTCTTCATGAATTATATCCTTACCCAGTTGTTCTAGCAAGTCATGCATCAAAATCATATTGCTTTGAATAGTTATCATTGCCTTCTCAACGAGTACTTCAATGCAATCTTGGGGGACCTTGTGCTTAGAACTGCTTACTATTTGTAGCACATAGTCCTTATCTTCACCCTTGAAGAAACATGCAATGTCTAGAAAAACTTGTTGCACAGAAGTTTTCAAGGCATCATAACTCTAAGTATTTTTTGAATACTTGTGTAAGGATCTCCTCCGTAAGCATCTGATAATATAGCTTGCCAACGATGTACACCTTTATTACGAAGATGGGAACCTAAAAGCGTTAGAGCTAGTGGAAGTCCTTGAGCATAGGCTATTGCACGTTGTGCGAGTTCCAAATAATCGTTTGGAGGTTTGTTGCTTCCGAAGGCATTCAAACTGAAAAGCTCAAGAGCTTGGTCGCCACATAACTTCTGGACCTCGTATATCAACTCAATTCCATGACATTTTAGCATTCCGCTATCTTGTGTAGTTATGATGACTCTACTTCCCTCACCAAACCAACCAACTCACTCCAGCCAAGTTGTCTAATTGCTCCAGTTGATTCACATCATCAAGAATTAAGAGAATTTTTTTATGACTCAACTGTTTCTGTATAACATTCATCCCTTTATCAGCGCTGACAATTTTCAACCTTTTGGCACCTAGGATCTCATGAAGAAGAGTCTCCTGCAGTTGGATTAATCCTCCATTTTGCGGCATTGAATTTTCTCTAACATCTACCAAGAAACAACTTCCTTCAAACTTCCGGGCAATTGCATTGTAAACTGCTTTTGCAATTGTTGTCTTGCCTATTCCAGATGTCCCCCATATCCCAACCATGCGACGACCCTTCCCACCAGCATCTAAAAGCTTTTCCACACCTTGTATACTAGACTGAATTCCAACTGGGTACTTGGCCACATTCCAATATGTCCGGTTCATTACTTGGATTAAGATCCCCTCAACGATATCGTTGATAAATCTAGCTTCATACCTACAAGTTTAACAAAATTTGACGCATTTAGTGAACCAAACTTACACTTAATGAGTAACAATTTTAACCATAAACCTCGCAATTAAATATAGAAGCCACTAAATTAACGATATTTATATATGCACTATAGTGGGTAGAAATATACTCTCCATCCTTGAAAATATGTCCGGACAAATTTGCTGCTTCTCTAAGAGCGTTCCTCCATTTTAGCACCTTCTCCATGTTATCCTTATATCTGAAGTTATGTTCAGCAAATGCATCTCCATAACTTTTTGTTTGGTTTCGTACATGGGACGGATCCACCTTGTAAAAAATGGGCAAAACTATTTGTTGCTTTCGTTCTTTACACTGAAGGATCTTGACAAGTTCATCTAAGCACCACCTTGAGGATCCATAGTTTTCAGAGAACACAATGAGAGAAAACCTTGACTCTTCAATTGCTTTGAGAAGGGCTGGGGACATTTCTTCTCCTCTTGTAAGCTCACGATCAATGAAGGTGACGATGCCTTTATCGGACAAGGCCTTTTACAAATGATCTGTAAAATTGGTGCGTGTATCCTCACATCTAAAACTCAGAAAGACATCATGTGTCTATGAATCATGAGTGACAGAAGAAGAAGAAGAAGAAGAAGAAGAAGAAGAAGAAGAAAATACTCGTCGATTGGCCATAGGAGGCAAATAAACTAAAGAGCCTCAAAGAATTGGGCTCTTATTCTCTTGCTATATGTCAGGCCTCTCATGCTCACGAAGCAGTTTCCTACTACCTTCAATGTGAATGTGAATTGTGATTAAGTTGAAGATGTTTGTTTTGTTACTGAGACGCTACCTTTACTTCTTTTTGTTATCTGTATCCCAAACCCATGGGTTTCTTCATCCACAGTGAGCTAGTGGGGAACATGTAATGATTTTTGGGGTATTAATTCTTTAACTTTTTTTAAAGTAAAGGAATGGAGTTACATCAAAAGAAAAGGGTTCATTGCTGGATCTATCCCTTTTGGTTTTTCTTCTTTCTTTTGTGTCACAACTTCACAAGCGGAAGCTTTAGCTTTACAACATGCCTTAACTTGGGCTTCAATATCCCATGATTCCATCTGCCGAACTTGGAAGGTGATTCCAAAATTTTAGTTCAAATCCATATAAAGAAGATTTTGGTCCCTTGGTCCATTCGAACAAGTATTCAAGACATCTGGCACTTATTCTAGCCATTTGATCATATTACCATTCAACATATCTACAAAGAAAACAATTGAATTGAAGTTTTTTTTAGCTAAGAAAGGACATTCTCATCCTCATCCTTTTATTTTGTTTAAATTCCTTCCTTACGACATTAGCTAGAAGAAAAGAATATCAGAGATAATATATGAAAGAAAGAGTGCTGGGAAATTCTGAATGTATTCTTCTCCTTATAGGAGGCACATATAAATCATGTCTTGGAGTCCAAGTAACCTTGTAGGTCAAGTAAAGTAACCTTGAAGGCCGAATTGAACCGACTATCTCCCTCTTATCCCTCTTCTCTGCTTCTCATGCTCTTCTTCTCATCCATGTTGTCTGCAGTAGTGAAAGAATATAGTGGTTGCTGGTTTTGTTGAGAAGGAGGGGTTGCTCGCTACTTTTGGGTTTTTTACTTCTCATGTTCCAAACCCTATGACATCATAATTAAATATAAAACTGCATTGTATTTCCTTTTTCATAATTCCAAATACAGGTACATGAGCAGTTACTTTTTCATAATGCAGGTGATTAAAGCATTATATTGAACTAAAGTAGTGAGTGACCCCTCCTCAAAGAAAATAGTTCACTATTTATTTTTCGTTTTTTAGACATAAGTTCACTATTTTCTTAAGAGGGAAAGGGTCATATAATTTTAAAAAAAAAAACAAAAAGGAGGTCCCTAAGTTAAAAATAGTGAACTTATGTCTAAAAAGAGAAAAGAAATACTGAACTTTATTTATATCTTTAAATACTAAACGGGTGTGTCGTGTGTGTATTGCGCAGCTCAATGCAGACTTATCTCACTTACCTACCTCCTGTGAAGAAGGCCAATTTTGTAGCTAATGAATGTCTTAGCTTCCTTAGGGCACCCTTTGACTTCGTCCCCATCACAACTTCGTCGTCGTTGTGTTCCGCGATCATATTCCTCTAGATCTAATACCATTATGATTTTCTGTAAGTTCTTTTTCTGTTTTTGTTTTTTGGTAGTTGATTAGCCAAAAAATGGACAGCCATTGAATTTGAAGACATTTTTGGATCGGAGCCCCCAGAAGAAGCCACGTGGCTTGTAGCTTTTGGTTTCTGGCAGCGCCGATGTCACGATGATGTTAGCGCAAGCTTTTCAAAAAAAAAAATATTACTATTGGCGCGTGAAATTTAAAAACTTGTGCTGACGTTAGCAGCCAGAAGGCAAGGAGACAAGCCAGATCTCCCCGTAGGCTTGGCCAGGCTCGTGGGACCCACGCCTTGCCCTAGCTGGATCTTGCTCGCTAGCGTCCTAAGTTAAAAGATAATATTGGTCATTTACTTATATCTTATTTGTTTTGTTCTCCAAGTTTCGTGTTATGTCCCCATCGATGTATTGATTTGTTCATAAATAAATTACCCTATTTTCATCGAGGTTATAATAAAAGGATTTAAAAGATACCACAAAATCAATTAATGGAAACAAAAATCAGTTTAGTGAATGAATAAAAATTAAGCTTTTTATCAGTTAATGGCAACAAAGATTTTTTTTTTTTTTTTTTTTGGTAATTCTGATGTCAAAAGATGATTTAGGCTTTTTATCATAAAACGTCTTTAACATTTACAAATCTATTAGATTGCGTCCTTAAAATTTTTTTGTATCACTTGCAGTCCCTAACTAACATATTACCTTACATGACTTCCATGCATCAAAAATCACTTCCATGCATCAAAATTCCTAGACCCCTTCCATGAAAAGACATAAATTGGTACTATTTTTTCTGTGGCAGAATTCAAAAATATAAATGCTGGAAAAAGGTAGGTTGGTGAATTGTGATAGAAAATATGACATGAAGCAGAGGATAATATAGTCCATTTTATGCCACGATGTCAAATCAGAGTGGCATAGAGAGACAGAGAAGAGACGACGTGAATACATCATGAAGTGGACACGCTTAATTCATAGATTTTGCAATCTTAATGGGTCCCATTGAACTATATATTTGGGATAAATAGTGGGGAACAGCCAATATTTGCAGATCAGCTTTCCTTCTCAGAAAAAGCGTAATGCGTCTCACACAAGAAAACTTTTAAGTACACTGCAGAAATAAAGGGGCCAATAGTCACTCTCTTGTCACTAACTAATTGGTATTGGTGACCATTGAATTGTTGGTCAATGCTTTTGTTTACTCATCACTATTATTTGTGACTACTCCCAAATTCAGGGGTTCACACTAAAAAGGTAATTTACTTTTGACGAACGGTGGAAATTTCAGGGGTTCACACTGTAGTTCAGTAGGAGGAAAGTAAGTTTCGCAAAGACTCACCCATGTGTTTTAGTAGAATTATTGTACAGGAGGAGTTGAGGCTATGGTAACGATTATAAATACACAATTAATGCTTGTATCTTGAGATATCAGACAAGCATATATACTTCACCAGTTTTATCTTTGTCTCAATACTTGTGCTTCTTCGTCTTCATCATGACTCTAACTAACATGGTTGGAGTAAGGTGCTGCTTCAAACTCCTCTATGCAATTGTCGTGCTCATTTTACTACACATGAACAATCCTTGCATTGGATGCAGCGAGAGGGAAAGGCAGGCACTCCTTGCACTTAAACAAGGTCTCGTGTTCGTGGATGACTACGGCAGCAATCCCTTCCTTTCCTGGGGAAGAGAAGCCCAAAACAAAGATTGCTGCGAATGGGATGGAGTCCACTGCAGCAACCAAACTGGCCATGTTGTTGAGCTTGAACTCCATGATGTGCAAGGTAAGATTAGTCCTAAACTCATTGAGTTGCAGCATTTGGAATATTTGGACCTTAGTGAGAATAAATTGAGTGGAAGAATACCTGAAAGTATTGGACAGATGTCCAATATTGTTTATCTTTATCTCTCGGAAAATAAATTGAGTGGAAGAATACCTGAAAGTATTGGACAGATGTCCAATCTTGTTCATCTTGATCTCTCGGAAAATAAATTGAGTGGAAGAATACCTGAAACTCATTTCTCGAAACTCCCCAATTTATGGTTTTTGGATTTATCCTCTAACTCACTAGTTTTAAACTTCAGTTTTGATTGGGTTCCTCCCTTTCAATTGCTTTACATAAGTTTGGGGTCTTGTAAGATGGGGCCGTATTTCCCGGAATGGCTTCGAACTCAGAAAAGTTATATCCGGCTGGATATTTCTGATGCTGGAATTTCTGATATCATTCCAACTTGGTTTTGGGATTTGCGAAATGACATTGTGTATAAGGATTTGTCTCGCAATCAAATTAGAGGAAATTTGAGATCAGAGTTAGCATGTCATTTTTTAAATGTGAGTTGGAACCAATTGGAGGGTCCAATCCCTTCAATCCTATCAAGTGTGTCATTGCTAGATCTGTCCAATAATAAATTTTCAGGGTCAGCTCCATTATTGTGCACAAGTACAACCGAGAAGAGTAATTTACAATATCTTGATCTCTCAAGCAACAATGTGTCCGGAGATCTTCCAGACTGCTGGATCCATTTTCAACAATTAGTCTTTCTTGATTTGAGCAACAACTCTTTATCTGGGAAAATTCCTACCACGATGGGATACTTGTTTGGTATCGAGACACTAAAACTAAATAATAACATATTTGTCGGAGAGTTGCCTTCACAATTGAAGAATTGCACAAAGTTGACACTTGTTGATGTTGGGGAAAATAAATTGTCAGGATTAATACCTGAATGGCTAGGGGAAAATCTTCTAAATTTGACCATCATTATCCTTCGATCTAATCAATTTTATAGGAGCATCCCGCCACAGTTATGCCATCTTACACACCTTCAAATTTTGGATTTGTCGATGAACAACATCTCTGGAACTATACCGAAATGTCTCAACAATTGGACTACTTTGGCTAAAAAAGGAACGTCAACTCTAATTATGCATCATCGGTCCTTTCTTTGGGACTATATAGATGAAGAATATGTAACATGGAAAGGAGTAAGGTCAAAATACAAAAATACTCTGGGACTTGTAAAGAGTATTGATCTCTCATGCAATAAGTTGAGTGGGGAGATTCCTACTGAAGTCACTTATCTTGTTGGTGTGGTTTCTTTAAACTTGTCGAGAAACCAATTAACAGGTCAAATACCTTCAAGGATTGGAAATTTGGAAGAGTTGGATTCTCTTGATTTATCAAGAAACCAAATAAATGGCAGAATTCCAACAAGTCTTTCTTGGATATATCGTATTGGTTACTTGGACTTGTCACAAAACAACTTGTCTGGAAAAATTCCAATAGGCACTCAGCTCCAAACCTTTGACTCTGCTTATGGTGGAAATCCTCTGCTTTGTGGAGAACCACTCCCAAGGACATGCTCTGAGGAGGGAAAAGGTCCAGGACAATCTATGTTGGTGAATGAAGACGACAAAGATGGGCTCATAACACAAGGATTTTACATCAGCATGGGGCTTGGGTTTGCTGTTGGATTTTGGGGAGTTTGCGGCACTCTTCTACTCAACAGGTCATGCAGATATATGTACTTCAATTTCTTGACATTTCTGAACGATTGGTTGTACGTGAAGGTAGAAATCATCAGGCAAAGGATCCTTAATAAATAAAAGGTAATTACTACTATCTTTCTTACATACTAGTTATGAAATTAAATTATGCAAGTTAGTTGTTCTTAACCCCGAATATACATGTAGATATTACAGAACATAAGAAATGAAAACTAAAAACTAAAATTGAAATGATTATCGAATGGGCCCTTAGTTTATGTGATTTATCTTTTTCAATCTTATGGGTTGTTTAACCTTTGTCTTTAGCGCATGCACTTTTGAGACGACATGCTTCCCTTCAGTTGAAGATGGATGCGATGAAGGACTCCTATTTGTACTAGTTTTCGAGTATTTGAGTGATGATAAGGGATCTCACTGAAATAAAGGAACCATTTTAGTAGATTAGTTGTGCTGTTATTTGTAAGAATTTAATGGGAACTTCTCCCATGAACTATTTGGTTTGATGTTCTTGTGTACCTCATGGTGTATGTTTTTTTCTTTCTCAATGTAGGAAATGTAGACGCAGAATTGCCTTTAATTGTATTGTTGTTATGAATAAAATAATGGAATTTGAGTTAACATATGTTATCTTTCGTTTGTGTAAGAAAGAAAATACTTGTCTTAAAACAGAAGAAAAGAGAAATTGATGATACACTGGGGGCCTGCTCAAGTTTGCTGTATTCTACATTGGGCTATAAAGTATCTCAGTCTCATAAACACAAGCAAATAGTAATAGAAATGAAGAAGGTAAAAACAGAGCAAAAACAGGGGAGAGGATATTGCTCTCGGCACTAGCTTTTCTATTTATACAAAAAGATGTACATATTAATAACAACACTAGGAAATTAATTTGAACAACTTGTGCACTAATTCATCAAAAGTCATGAAATGTAAAAAAAGAAAAAGAAATTTCGCTTCTTTAGAATCAAGGTTTCAATGGAGCCAATTGCAAGAGACAACGCTTATTAAGTAGGAAGTAAATTTTTATGGATTGGCTATGAGATGTGCTTTATGACAGATGAAAATTGCAGAAGTGAAGCTTCAGAAGGAACTATACAAACAGATGACAGCAGAAACAATTTCCGGGAAAAAGATGTAAAGAATGTACCACAATTTGCACTGGTGGGTGCTTTGGCTTTAGATTTGGACTGATCGTGATGACGACCACAATGAGGAGGGTGAGGAGAAGGCAGAGAAATCAAAACCTTAATGAAAGCAAAGATATGATATCGGCATCAGAAGTCAAAAGTTACCTTTATAATGTTTTATCCCTTTCTTTCCCTCTAGCCTCCAGTTGTAGGAGTTTGCGTTGAACCAACCCGAGGCCTATGAAATAAAGATTGGCAATCAAGTTTTTCGAAGACCTGGAGATCCTCCTTTGGAGGAAGCTGTTGAGAAGCTGCAGAATGAGAAAAGGAGAGTGGAGAATGACAGTCCAGCAGAGAGCAATAGGCATTTGAAAGAGGAACTGTAGCTATACTTGTAAGTTTTCTGACATGCAATATAATGACCATTTTTGTAACTCCATAGCAACCTCCACTCCGAATATTCATGTATTACCATTCAAGTTGATTTTAGGCTGCTGATGAAGCCGACGGAGGGACATGCGAAATGACAATTGTAGACATGATTATTTATCGAGATTCTGTTTTTATCTATTTATTTTAATGGAACCAGTGCATAAAAACTGCTCAAGAGTAGGCCATCTATTTACCATTTTCTCATCTGTGCGGGATATCCCAGTTAGTCACCTGCAGGTGTAAAAGGTAAGTATTTCACCATTGATTAGAATGAAAACCCAGAAACAACTTCAATAATACTCAGCTTCTTTGTTTGAAAGGGGACAAATTCTGTTCAATAGATTACAACAGAGGAAGTACATAAAATTTCTGACTGTAAAATTCTAAGTCTCCGACAAATTTGCAGTTTAAATGAATTAATACAGTCACAGCTGGATAGGGAATAAGAAGAAGAACGGTATGAAAAGAAGCTACTTCAACTTCTTACTGAAGTCAGAAAGCTCAAGGATCCGAATCCTGGGAATTGTAGCTGCCTCCTCCCTCTCCTTCTGTGTATTGTACCCCCAATCACCTGATCCAATTCATCCCAAATTAGCAACCGCAGCAAATGAGTACCACAATGAAGCACATACAGCAATATAAATAGACAAGTTAAAGAGTCTGTGTTTGATAAGGGTAAAGGGAGAATTTTACCTAGATACAAATTCCAACCATCCAATTCAGGTTCTTTGATCACATTCTTTAGGGTTGCCAGTCGATCTTCGACAAAGCTGGTCAATATTGAGTGTATATTATCGAAAATTCGTATCTTACAAAAAAAATTCAAATACGAAGCAGAAAAGTATCTTACTGCAGTTTCAGCCCCTGATGTTCTGGTTTCTTTTGAAGCTGCTTCAATACTTCTACCTTGGGACTGGAAGAGGAATTCAATACATAAGAGTATGTTCCACATTAGGGAAAACCAACCACAGGCATAAGTACCAAAACAATCAAACACAGATTGAAATCAAGTTAATTTCCACTAACCCACTTCCAAGACCAAATATTCTTTCAGGCGGTATTGTAACTCCTGCAAGTTCTCGCAGTAAAGCATCAGCAAATCGGCTCTGCAATAGGTGGAAGAAGAACAGGAAATAAGAAAGTGAGAGAATGACAAAGGGCAAAAGTTTACATTTACAGCTACCACAACATTTACAGTCTTTAATTGGATTGTGTCAGAAAGAGAAAACAAAGATACTCACACCTGTTTTGTGGTGACAATGTATATGGTTGAGCTTGCAAATTTTAATGCATCAGGAACACCTGGATATAATCTGCAAGAAAATTATCTCCTACTTAGATATGCATTGAGCCCTCCCAGTCCCAACAAGTTTGAGAAGAGACTAAAATCATGTTAAGGGTTTTTTTTTTTTAAATCACAAAACGTCCATGACGTTCATGTTAACCCCGCATAAAGGATTAATAGTTTCGTGAACCACATGGACGTTTCGAGATAAAAACCCTTATGTTAAACAAGAATAAATTAAATCTGAAATCAAACAACCTTAAAATGCTTTTGTCTTTTGTATATGAATAAATGGCTCCTTTGCAAGAAAAGTCTGAATTGGATACCTATTTGCACCAATCCAAGTTGTTAGGTCCTCATCCATCCACTCATCCCTGACCTTCCCAAAAAGATTAATAAGAGCATCCCTCTCCTCACCCCACTCTTCCATAATCACAGGCTTCAGCTCTGACCACTTCTCCAATATCCCCTCCACTGTAATCCCTTCCGCGACCGATGACTTTCGTATAGAAGGTATTCTCGCCTCCAGCAGCAACCTCACAAGCAGCAGATTCTCATATCCAGTTTCCACCACAGGCCTCACCTGCCACACCATAATTCTATCTCATTAGCATGTTATGTTATCAGATTGTGAATCGAAACGATAGATTACATTTACATACATAAAATTTGTGTAATTATTATATGGAGGACCTACTATGTGCATCTGCTCAACAACCCAATCCTCCAAAGTTGAATCCACACCGTTGAATAAAGTTGGCCATCTCACTTTAGCAGCCTACGCGTAACCACCATTAAACAAATTAAACAATCAATTAAGCAAAGCTTGTAAAAATGTGCAAACACAAAACACAACCTTCACAGCAGAGAGGGAGCTCTCTCCACAGGTATCACACAAAACTCCATCAAAATCCAAAGCATATAAATCCCCCATTTCCTCTCTCTCTCTCTCTCTCTCTCTCTCTACTCTTGACTCTCTGGTCTGAGTGGTCTGCAGTTTGTTTTATTTTCTCGACGGAGGTCTTTAAGTAGTGGGTGATTATTCTCCGCATCTTTTGGATGGGCTTTTACTGGGCTGGATGGAGGCCCAATCTTAACAGACGACATGCCGTATTTGCAGACTGTCACTATCTTATCTTTCTTTAAAATTTGAAACAACGAAGGAAAAGGTTTGAGGTGTCACGCCGGCACCGCAATGATTGAGTATTGTGGGGGTCTATTTTAGTATTTGCAACCCACTTCCTTTGTTTTCACCACCATGCCATCATTGCCAATTTGCCATATCCATTAGATTATTATGGAAAAATAAATAAAAACGAATTGTGAAAGCTATGGTTCACTTGCATTTTCCCACCCATCTCTTAACTCATTTGGATAATCAACCGTAGTAACAAAGATTATCATCATAATGTGGGTTAGATCAGTTGCCCATAATAGTGAATCTGTCTCCTTGTATTTAAGTTCGAGTCCTCGTTTCTGTACGTTAAATCAATATTGTTATAGATAAAAGAGAACCATCATTACACTCATCGACATAAACGATCCCCATCAAGTTAGAAGATTATTTGTATATAGATTGGCCCAAAAAAAACAATTTGAACGAAACAACACAACAAGAGCAAAGATTTATAAAACAACAATTTTTTAAGTATTGTAACGGGTTGAATGCAGTGTTTTAACCTTACTTTTTCAATGTCTTTCAACATTTATTAGAGAAACACTACTAAATTAATATTTAGTTGAATTGGTCAATTTTTAAATATTTTGAAAATTAAAAGTTGTTTAGTGATTTTTGAGCAATATAGTAAATTTTTAACTACTTGTCTAATACTTTATTTGATGGTATTTCTCCTTTCAAAAACGGGAAGGGGTGTAAGTTCAAAACCCCCCATGTTGATTTTAAAAAATTCAAAGATTTAATTTCTTTTGAAAAACAACATTAAATTGGACACTAAAAATTTCATTAAAAGTTGGATATGGTAATGTAAATAAATAGCAACACACGCGAAATGGATAAGGAAAAAAAAAAAAAAAACCAGAAAATGACAATAACGCCACTCATTAACAAACAGAAATCTGGCGTGACGCAGTGAGTTCCTCGCTCGGCACACACGCAATCGCAAGCCCCCTCGTTTCCGTTACCGGTAAAATCACATCTCTCACCCAGACACACACGCTAGCCGACAAACCTCAACCCCACCTTATACAGCCGGTCAACCGACGTATCCAGTTTATCCTTACCGGTACCGCCGGTTTCCTTCTTCATCTCCCTCTCTTATTACTCGAGAAATCTCCGCGTATAAAAAACCCCATACCCCTCCATTTATTCTTCCACTTCCCGATACAGTTTTTCATTTTTTAACCTTCAATCCCATCACAACGTCGTCGTTGCGATTCTCGATCATATATTCCTCTAGATCTAATCCCGTCACGAGTTTCTGTGAGTTCTTCGTATTCGAAATTAATCTGATATATTTGTTTATTTTTTGGTAGTTGATTGTTGTTTTTAATTGATTGGGACTGGTTGATGCTTTTGCCTTAGATTTGGATTGTTTGGAGGAGTTTTGGTGGTGTTATTTGTATCCAATTATTCACATGCAAATTGTTCTGTTTTTGTTTTTTGTTTTTTGTTTTTTGTTTTTTGTTTTTGCATAGCAGCATGTGATTAGGTTGTTGAGGATTTCTTTGTTGATACTGAGGGTTGGTTCTTAGTCAATTTTCTATTGATTAAGTATGTGTTTGGTTGGAATTAATTCGTTTTTTTTTAGGAATTGGGAAAACATCACTTTTGTTAATTGCAAATATGTATTTGTCATTTCTTATATACTGTAATCTGGTTTTTTTAATGGAAATGAGAACTTTGTTCTGTGTAATATAAGGTTAGTTTGATTTTTATGGGTGGAAATGAAATCCATAGTAATTACTATTTTAGCGGCCAAAAATAGATTATGTATGAACTTTTTATTCTTATTTAAGTCAGGTTTAAGTCATTTAAATTCATTGTTGTTGACCCAAAAGAAAGTTGCTTGATCATACACAAGATAGTTTTGCTTTAAAGTAATGTTCTGCATGCATTTTACTGCGTAAATGTGTTGTGACCGAGACATTCTCATGGCCTGAAGATAAGAATTGATTTGATTTGTATCTCTTTTTACGGCATTCTGATGGGTTTTTTCTTGTTGGTTATTTTGTGTCTACTTGGGCCTTATAAATGTGAAATAGGAAACTTGCTTTAAGATGGCAGATAATGAGGAGGTAGAGGAAAGTACTGCTCGTGGGAATGGATGGGAAGTTGTCTCACTTACAGAATCAACATATGCTGCTTCTCCTGGTCCACAAGGAGTTGAATTGAACAATGACGGCAAGATCAATACCTATGGAGAGCAAGCGGAGACTTCTCATGCTCTGTTCATGTCTGGTCACTTTGTTTTTCCACCCAGTCAGCACGAGAATTTGCCTGTGGAGACTGACAGCAGCAAAATTCATAATGAACATGTGGACAAGGATGCAGTAACTGAGGCTGAGATAGGTATTGAAGGTGGTAGGTCCAGTGGAAAGGAGGAAGACACTTTGACTTTGAAAGGATTGAATGTTCCGGATGAGTTTACGGGAATGCCGTTTTCAAAAGAGAAGGATAATATGCTATCCATTGGTGGTACAGACTTTGAAGAAGGCGCTACACTGCAAGGGTCTATGGCTGACAAAGAGCAGACTATATATGATGCTGCTAAATATAGTTTAGATGGTGAAACAGCTCTTGGTGGTTCAACCCCATTTGGTGAGAGCACTGCTCTTCCTGGACGTATTGAACCTTCAGAACAAGGTTTAGACTCTTCTGAGGACATCTCACAATCCCCAAGGCCACCGCATGATGATAAATTTGACGTTTCTGGCCTGCCCTGTGGAGCGTGGTGGAAAAGAAGAGCTGCTTCATTGTATTGTCATGCAAAAGAAGCAAATGCATATTGGTCTATTTTTGTAGCAGCAGCTGTGATGGGGCTTGTGTTACTCGGGCAGCGGTGGCAGAATGAGAGGTGGCAGGCTCTACAACAAAAGTGGCAGTTGAGCGTCAATGATCAGGTTTGTTGATTGCTATTGTTTTCTATTATGAGTATGTTTCAATTTTCACTTTTCTTTTTCTGGTTAAGGAATTGATGCATCTCATGTTTGTTGGTTTTCCTTTGCCTGATCTCTCTTGTTAGTTAAGGTATCACATAATAGATTTTACTGTACATACCTCTTTTTTTTGGGTCAGCTGGTAGGTAGTATTAAAGAGTGTTTCTGAATAACTTTTTGCTTACTGAATGGCTAATCACGTCCTCCCATCTAGGATTTTAAATACCAAATAGTTACTGATTTTAAATTAATCTAATAACAGTTTGTAATTTCAATAGTATGTGATGTTTATTGTGTATGCCGTAAAACTTCATGATGTTAGCGTATCATGAAATGTCGTAGATGTGTTAATTCATAATGTTGTAACTCGTGTGGGTTTTTGTTCTTTTGTTTCTATCGTATGGTCATACAATTGCATTTTTTTAGCAGTAGCGTATTGTGCACACCAACGCTCGTTGGTTCCTTTGCCCCACTTTGTTTCACCCTAAACCTTCCATTTTTAATGACACTGACATTGTCATTTCATCATCTTGACAGAAAACAGGAAGGATTCTTGGTCCCATATCTCGACTTAAAGAAGTGATAGTTGGCAGCCAGAGCCGAGGATCCTTTATCCGGGTCAGCTCCTCAAGCGACTCTTAAGATGATGACGAAAAATACCACAGGGTTGGAGGGAGAGAGAGGGGGGGAAGATACACAGATGAGGGGGTTATGATATGTTTAGTTTGTTGTCCAACTGTGGTTCACTCATATTCCTAGTCTCAAAGTTTGATGTTGCCATTGTATGATATTTTCTTTTATTGCCTTGAATTTGACTTGTACAGAGCTCACAGGGGGGCTGGCAATAACTCACATGTTATACTTATTTCTATGTTTAATTTTCTTCTTTTTGGCTAAAGTTATGTTCTTATTTATGAGGATTGAATACACATTACTCTAGGGTTTCCCTAAATTTTTCCTTTATTTGTAAACTGGGCATTAAGAATGAAAGTTTTATAATGTTAAGCTATGTTTGCACTTATCATTATCATGTTAAGTTCTATTTTTATTCTCGTACTTTTGATTTGTTCGGGAGTTGCTCAAAGGTCTTAACACAATTTTCGAAATTTAAACACTGACGTTCTCTGTTTCAAAATATAACCAATAGAATCAATTGGTGAATCATTCAAAATCCACCAATGGGGTGTTAGTTGGATTGGTTCAAGGTTTTGGTTAGGGGTGACAATTTCCTACACGA